AAAAGTTATAAGCGAAAAACGTGAATTTACGTAAAAATTATACAATTAACCACCCTGTAACCAATCTTCCCCCCATTTTTACGACTGTGGAAACTAATATGTTATTGTACATAATATTTAGCATCTATAGTAATAAATTCAGATTGTCGAAACAAAAAGTCGCGCCCAACTCTCCATATTTCCTGGCCTATACATTATTTAAACAATTATTTTATACTGTTGCTTCATACGACGAGCCGCCACTGATACGTACCTCTGTCAATATAGTCATAAAGTTTATTGTTTGTAAAATAATTGCCATAATTCATGTACAGAACACAAATCCTACACAATGGCGTCCCAAAATAAATTGGTTGTTTTACAATGCAGTGGAATACATCCAGATTTTGAAATAGTAATGATTATAGGTAAATAATATTAGTAAACATTATAGCGTAAATATATAGGTCGTTTTTCGAGCTTCCATAAATTGAAGCAATCCATTTCTGTTTGTAAATAAAAGCTCGAGCGGGCATAAAAAATGTATACATATATATTTTAATTACACATTTATATTTGATACTCAAATATTTATCCACCATTACATTTGAAGGGATACGGGAGTATAAAAAATCTGCTCGCTGAAAAGTTATACATTCATTATATTTTTTCAAATTACACAATTTTTTCGCAAAGGTATAGAATTTCATGAAATGGGGCAATGAGCAGTGGAGGATAATTACTTTTATTTTCCAAGTCAAACAAGCTTTATTACAGGTTAAAATCAAAGGACGTACAAAACGACGCGTTTCGTACGACGCAGCGATAAATCTGTAATTACATCAGAATAGTTCGTTGCGTTTTATTAAAAAGCTCGCGTGAATTCATCCCCGTAACCCAGTGACCATTAAATTATAAAGGGGGTTGGTAAGTCACAAAAAAACCGGGGGCGCTTTTACGCCCATTGACAGCGCCGTCATCTGGTCCGTTGCAGTTTAAGAGCTGCGGAAACGACTTAAAATGGACTGTATTTCTTCGCTCGGAGATACCGCATAAAAATGAACTTACAGAAGTGTGTCGCAGCTGAAAATCATATCCCTACGTCTCTGTTTCGGACGTTCAGACGTTTTTCTCGAATTCTAAGCCAGATCGATACGTCTCATGGGACATATTACAGTCGTTAAACATTTTTTTTCTCGCTAAATCTAAGAATGCAGTGGAAATAGTTAGTTATTAAAAAATTGGAACCACATACGTACCTTACATCCTCCCTTATACAGGGTGAACCTTAAATTCGTACATACACGGTGGCCCAAAAAGAACCGAACCCCTCCTATCAAAAAAGTTTCAGTAAACTTGTAGGATATCAAGAAACCAATACGGTTAGACATGACCTTGACTTTATGTCTCAAGGTCAAACCAAGAAAAACTCGTGTTTTAGGCAAAATTTCTAGGATTATGAACGACAAATTAGACGGTGACCTTGATTTGAACTTCACAAGTTACAAGGTCAAACCAAGGTTAACTCAATATCAAACGGAATACACTATTTTTAGGCAAAATTTCCAAGATTATGAAAGACAAATGAGACGATGACCTTGGTTTGAACTTCACAAGTTGCAAAGTCAAACTAAGGTCAACTCAATATCAAACTGATTACACTATTTTTTATGCCAGCAACGGATAAAACGCCAAATTTCCTGTCGGAATCTGGGATCAAAACGTTTTTCTAGGATGTCCTTGCAGGTGATTTGAAGGTCAAACTCATTTTTCACTAAAACTAATGGATATAAAATAGAACTTAATAAATGTTTTCAATTAAACATGTTAGCAGTACTTGATAACAATTTTGAAATTTAACACAATGTTAGGGCACAGGAGGATAGGGTCATTTTGGAGATTTCACCATCGCTAATTCGTCCTTCAAAATTCTACAAATTTTGCGTGAAAAATATTTCTGGCCTTATATTGAGAAGTATTTGCAGCTCCATCGATTGATGGCACAAAAAATAGTGTCTTTTCAATTTGACCTCGGTTTGACCTTGAAACTTAAAGTAAACCTCAAATCCAAGGTCGTTAGCGTATTAATGTCCTACAACTTTCCTCAATACTGGAAGGGGGTTTCCGGTTTTTTTTTGGGACACCCGGTATTTCACCACAAAATTTTTACTGTAGTATTTAAATTATTTTGAAAATTGCTGAGGCACTTTGTAGATTTGTTACTTTCACCGTCGGTGTATCTCTCTTAAGATTAATTAGATGGCGGTTTACACAAATAGCGACATTAAAAATGTCCAAATAAATAATTTACAAACAAACTATTAATAACATGTATACGTACACATACAAGATTCACCCTGTATTAATGTGTAGTAATTTTATATTCAATTCTGATTTCTCACAGGATGCCACTCAGTATGCACGCACGGACCATGTAAACAAAACTTTTCCGATACGTTTAGAGCATACGTTATTGGAACAGGAGCAAGCGATAGAGGTAGTCGAACGGCGAGAATCCCATTTGCTGATAAGCGTGAAACTTAAAAATGGGCGCGATTATAATAAAATGTGCCGTTCCCCCCCCCGTATTTCTTGCCCATCCGCAATGATTGAAAACAGTACCCGCACACGAGCATAAAATTTAGATAACAGGATTGTAATAGCGTGTGTTTTTTCGGAGTGGTATTTCACCACAAACTGAACCGTGCCGTGTGGATTATCAAAATAACAACCTTAATCGCCCCGCGATGATTCGAAACATCGTTAGATTTTTTGCCGATGTTCCCAATAGAGCCGTTTCCGCAAGTGAAATTCGATACTTTATTAATTGAAATGACGAAACACTTGTTAAATATTTAAAATAATGTATTCCTGTGTATATTCTGTAAAAGTGAAGCAGCTTGAAATCCGAACGCAATAAAAAGTTTATTACATTTCAAGAAAAAAAATTATTCGGCTCACATCCACCTCACAACTTTGAAACCTTTTTAAGTGTGTTTCTGAAGGATATTAGTAAGAGATAGGCCCCAGTTAGAGGTTGTAATCCTGTCTGAAATATTCCGAGAAGTGAAATATTGCCCGTGCAAGTACTACCACAATTTCTCATTCAACATGTCCAAACATTTCTTGTAGTAGCATTTCGGGAGACACAAACACGACTTTAAAGAACACATGGCCCTCAACTTAAGCCCTATACCAGGTGCAGATAGACGTCTAAACTTTGGGAACACCGCCGTTTATATTGCAAGCAATTTTAGAACCAATAAACGCTACCCTCTTATTTCATAAAAGGTTTTTAACTAATGGAATTACCCACTATTTATGAAAGGTTACGATTTTTTTCGGGACTAGTCAAAGAGCACCGTTATTTTCAGCGTTCTTTGATAATATATTTAGATGTAAATAAGCAATATAACTGTGGCGACCGAAATAAGATTGTGATACATTATTAAAGACCGCTGAAATAGTCTCTCTTCCTTGCCGTGTAATATGTAATCTGTCGAGATACATATCGGTCCCGAAATAAATAACAAGGCTTAAGTTGTTGATTAGAATAGAACTTATGTATATGTACCATTAAGCAACCATAAAAAAAACCATAACACAGACCTGCAGCTACATAGATCATAGCGTACAATGGCGTTATTTAACAATATGGAAAATAAAATTGTTATCCACCTAACCAATCGGAAACGATCCGCAATGGCTTAATTAAATAATTTAATTTAACTGTTATTTCAAACCGTATTTTATTGTCATATTAAATCCAAAACACTTGAGGCCGAAACTTTTAAAATTGCAACATTCTGTGCGAGTTTGAATGTTATTTGTTTTGGCAAAAGTAAGGTGAAAATGGTGTAAGTGAGGTGAAAAGGGCAAAAGGAAGGTGAAAAGTCAATAGTAGTAAAATATTCAAAAACCATGTAAAAAATACAAGTGAAGCAAAAAGTCAAAAGTGCAGCGAAAAGTCAAAAGTGAGGTGGAAACATCAAAATTGGGGTGAAAGGGTCAAAAGTGAGGTGAAAAGGTCAAAAGTGAGGTGAAAAGGTCAAAAGTGAGGTGAAAAGGTCAAAAGTGAGGTGAAACAGCCAAAAGTGAGGTGAAACAGCCAAAAGTGAGGTGAAACAGCCAAAAGTGAGGTGAAATTGGCAAAAGAGAGTTGAAAAGGGCAAAGGTGAGATGAAAAGGTCAAAAGTAATGTGAAAAGTCAAAAGTAATGTGAAAAGTCAAAAGTAATGCGAAAATGTCAAAAGTGGTGAAATTTTCAAAAATCAAGTAAAAATAGAAGTGAAGCGAAAAAAAGTGAGGTGGAAACATCAAAACTGGGATGAAAAGGGCAGAAGTGAGGTGAAAATGACAATTGTGAGCTGAAGAGAGCAAAAGTGAAGTGAAAATGGCAAAAGTGAGGCGAGAATGGCAAAAGAGAGGTGAAAAGTCAAAAGTGAAATGAAAACGTCAACAGTGAGGTGAAGAAAATCAAATGAGGTGAAATAAAACCAAGGAGTGAGGTGAAAAAATCAAGTGATTGAAAAAGTTAAGTGAGATGATAAAATCAGAAGTGAGGTAAAACTCATGCTAATTGATTTTATATTGCGTTGCGCATGCAAAAAACACACGAATATAATTTAGGGAAGCTGTATTAGCAAACAAATTTAATCGCATTTAATATATGAGGCATATTGCTCAAATTTAGTCATAGCGCAGTTAGTTTCGTTCGATGTAAAGGGCGATAAATTCCAGCTCGCACTTTGTGAAAGGGGTGCACAATTAGTTCAAACGGTTTTTACTTCGATGACGCGCTGCAATTTCAACTATTTCCAATTTGTAGTTAGCAGTAAATTGGCCCCCAGTGAATACGGCAAATATGATGGAGCCATATTAAAACGCTGATTTCCTTATTTAAAACGAATTACCGTTTTCCATGATTAAATACAATACAGTTCGATTTCGACGAGGTGGAGGAAGCGGGAAAGTATCGGTGTGGCGCAGAAGAACGTAAATAAAAAAAAAACAACACTCACCTAATGCCTTCGCCGTTGCCTCCGATATAACAACGAATGAAAATAACAGTAATAGTAGGCCGGGCCGAAACTTCCCATGCCAGGCCATGGCACCGTCACCCTGAAAAAAAAAAATTATGTATCATACACTGCGAAAAATGTAGCACCTCAGATACACTAATTAAAATGTTTAACTGTTTTTTCACATGAAAATCATTATTGCGTAACGATTTTCTTCGACAGAACTCGCGATCACGGGTTTTGGAACGCCGTTCAGTGACAGCGCGGCCCTGACATGTTCCTGCTATAAAAAACATATGGTGTAATAAGGAAACAGAGGCTAATTTTAGTCATACGTTATTAATTAACGGTCGTATATTCCTCTCGTCAGATTGTAGATTATCACAGAATTAAGGCAATAAAATTCCTGAAATCCAACTCCCGACTTATCTAATTAAATTGTTTTCGTATCGTATTTACGATGGGAACGTCAAATATAAATTAAAAAAATTACATAATTCAAAACTGAAGCCTGCCTTGAGATGATTTATCATCCGAAACACGAGTAAAAACGTACGAAAAAGCACTAATTATTTCTTGTACTATTCAGAAGTGTGTTGATATCATTTAGGAGAGAGCAAGCTATAAGCGGTTGCGTTGTATACAAACTTTAACAAATACGTTATCGTTTCCGAATTTCTTAACATACACAGACACAACCGTGTTTACGGACGGCCGCATCGTCGATTAGTGACATATGCCATGTAGTCCTGTTTATTTACTGTGAGGGGGATGATAAAAATAAGCGGGCTCTTTATTTATATTCCGTGGGATCGGATAGATTGAACTGTTTACATTTTATTATATTAACACAACAAATAAGGCCTAGACCATCGATCCTACCAGACCGAGTGTGGTATTAAACATTCCCAAAGATAACACGTACGTTAAGATCTATTTACATTTCTCGAACAACCCCCGGCCTCAGACGATACTCGCTCACGATAGTTCGACTCGGATCCACTTCAGAGCTCTTTTAAATAATCTCGTCACTGTCACGGCAAAGATTTGTTTTCATACAATTAAATCGGTCGTACGGGAACCTCCGAACGCGACACAAACAATCTTCAACAGATTAAAATTACCCCCCCCCAAGTGTGTATAATTGTAAGCAATATACACTAGGCATAGAAATTAAGGAATATTAAAAAAATCCCAAAATTTTGGGCGATTTTCAAAGAGCTGTAACTTGGAGGGAAATGGTCGTAGAGAGAATAAAAAAAAAGAAAATTGAAGCTTCAAGTGTCTAGTTTTCAGATCTGCAGTTTAAAATTTTTTAGCGGCATTAACTTTAACCACGTATTCGGAAGGCCTGATAAAGACGGAAAATTGAAAAAAAGGCGTAAATATCTTCCCTTAAAATTAATGACATTATGACTGAATCACCCCGTATACATAAATTATAACCAGCAATGCTATAATTGTGTAAATTTTTAATAATAACTTTTTTCCGCGATACGTTTGAGCAAAAGTTATACGAAAATTACGCATGTTTCGATCCCGCGACCCCCTAAAAATCCGCTTACGGCTCCTGAACGCACTAATAGTTCAATGGGGATGAGTTCATGTTCCGGTAGCGATACAGTTCATCGGGTTATTGATTGCCAAAATCGCGGACCTCTTGTACACTCTATATACGTACAATGTTGCCAATTTACACAAATCTGATCGCGTGTCTGAGCAATATTAATCAAGGCACGGTACCTCGACGGGCTAGTTCCCCCCCTGCCCCCCGTTCCCCTGCCCCTCCCCCGGCAGCTTAATACACGTTCATATATCCCCCGTGCTTATGCCTGTATCCCCTAGCTGGAAATCATTTAAATTCTGCGATTACTTCTTTGAGGGAGAAGACCTTGATCCGTCCTCCGAACCCGGTATACATTTTCGGAAGCGGGGAAGGAGCCCTAAAACCGCGCGGCACTGGCCTACGTGCGAGGGTGAGATATGATTAATTTAGGATTAAAATTATCACGAAAACCATATTTTCATTTTTTATGGCACTTGTATTTTCGATAAGCCTCCACATAAAGCTCTAATCAGCAACAGGAGTTTTTGTGTTTTTCTCCCCGCTAACACGACGTCACATAACCATTAGGTTAATAAAAATTTCAAGGAAAGGCTTCGTTAGTCGGGGAAATATTGAAAGGTTTTTTTTTTCGACAATAGGTACAACTTCCAGAAGACAGGCTCCATTAATTTTAAATGGTTTAGAAAGTCCCGACTGGAAAATTACGTCTAATGTATAACATAAAAGCATTTCTTAAATTAATTAAGCAATGAAATAAGGTCGAAGATAAAAATGGAATTAATAAATCACATTATTATAATTACGAATTTATTGTGTTGCTAAATTCCAAATACATATTCCTGAAAAAAAAAAGAACAAATAAACAAAGCCATGTGTATCTAAACTTAATTTGTGTATGGAAGTTGAATTTTTATATGCCATGTTTAATTATAAAACATCAAAGTACGTGAATGATTTGTCCATCAAATTACAACATAAATATAAAAAAAAAATGATATTTGTTTTTAGTAGTAATATATATTAGACTCGCGCGCTAACAAAACGGGTAAATATTTGCATTAATCAAAGAGAATATTATTGGAAATATATTTCGACAAAAAACGTTTATTTTAGTTCGCGAATGAATAATTTTTCAATAAACAAGTCAACTATAATCGAGGTAATTTTTACCACTTAATTTTCGGACCTACAAATCCGAACGTAAATGGACTAAAAAAATCGATGAATTGACGTCCTTTATTTTATTGTTGAAATGTGCAGAATTTTCAAAATGTTGCACAGCCTCAAATAAAGCATCTAGATACTCGAAAATTTTTTCATCTAGAAGAGACCGCTCAACATTTCAAATGGTTTTTGAAAATTGAAATCGGTTGATTAGGACGGCACAGTACATTTTTAAAATTAACACTTTTTTTATTTTTAAACAATTGAATTACATTTATCAATTTGCAATTTAATTTTTTTTTTAAATTATAATTTTAAAGTAATACTATTTTTTTTTAATTTTATCTGTATTTAACAAACAAATTAATTTCCAAGAATTTTTTTTTTAATTTAAACAAAAATTATTTATATAATTGTAATAATTATAACAAATTTTTTCATTGAAAGAATGCAATAGCATAGGGTAAAATACACAGTATATTTAATGCATAATTTGTTTATAACAAAATATGTGCAAATTAGACAGTTGGCATTACGATATTCGAATTCCTTGGCTCGCGAGACATCGGATTAAAAAAAAAAGATCGAAATTGGTCCATTAGAAGCTGATATAATGCAATTTTTTTCGTACCTTCGCATTTTGAGCCTCCGAATTCAGTCTCGGAGTGAAAGCCCCCTCCCCCACTTTTTGTGTTTTGACTCACTTTTCGCGCGTGCGAGCGACAGCTTTTCCGTTGATTTATCTATGTTGCCGACAACTTTTTTTCCAGCTTAGAACTCGGAAAAACGAAGCCACTGGATCAAAGATTATTGCTAAATTGTTTATAAATTAACGGTAAATGCGGATAAACTTTGGCCGCTTATATCTCGAGAACCAATAAACGGAATTTAATTTCTTTTTTTTTAAGTACTTGCGAGTACTTTAAAATTATAATTTTTGAAAAAAAACTAAATTGCAAATTGATAAATAATGTAATCTAATTGTTTAAAAATTAAAAAAAGAATGTTAACTTTAAAAATTTACTGTAGCCGTCCTAATCAACCGATTTCAATTTTTGAAAAACCATTTGAAAGGTTGAGCGGCCTTTTCTATGTGAAAAAATTTTTCAAGTATCTAGATGCTATATTTGAGGCTGTGCAACATTTTGAAAATTCGAAAAATTTTTTTAAAAAAATTATTTTGCGAAAACTATCACTATTTTAATGAAATTTGGTGTGTTGTTTTATTATCCTCTGAAGTATTTTTAAAAAATTATCCAAAAAACTTGATTATTTTCCCTTTTTTATTTATTTACTTATTTATTCATTTATTTTCCTTTTATGACAATGAAGTTATTGTATAGGAATGGTCATAAAAAAACCTTAGGTCTAATACTTAAAACAAAAAAAAAAGACAAATTCAAAACACATTGCACACATTACATTACATTAAAATATTCCGCTAGAGAATAAAAACACTTTTCTTTCAGAAAGTCTGTCAAACTCTTTTTAAATGCTGTTTCGGTAGTACTTTGTTTTATATTTGTCGGTAACAAATTAAATATTCTAGGCCCTATAAATCTGGTCCAGTCACTATTTATTTTTAATCTAGCAGAAGGCTCATATAGCTTATCCTTTCGTCTAGTATTCACACTGTGATAATGACTATTCAAAGCAAAAATATTCCTATTTTTAAAAACATACACCTTATCTCAAATATATATATGCAGGGCAATGTTAAAATTCCAAGCTTCTTAAATATAGGTCTACAAGACTGATTACTTAGTGCCCCAACAATACACCGTAAAATCCTTTTCTGAGCAATAAAAACACTAGAGCTTAATATGGAATTGCCCCAGAAACAGACACCATACCTTAAACGCGATTCAATTTGTGCAAAATATAACATTCTAATTTGTCCCTCATTTATTGCTATTTCGCAACATCGGTAATAAATTTAAACATTTTTAACTTACAGTATATTGTGCAAAATTCGATAATTCTAAAACTCTGTTTCCTCTTCAATATTCTTCCAAACTGCATAGTTTCCAAGATATAAGTAAAAACTCAGATAAAATAGGTATTTTTTTTAAATTTTTGCAATTTTGAAAATGTTCCGGAGCTCGCCCGGATCTAGGAATCTACACTTTTATTATGCGAGTTGTACTGAATATTATTCCAGCAAAAATTAGCTTGCCCCCTCTTCATTCAAGAAATGGGATATTTCGACAGATCCGACCTGATTCATTTAAAAAATGATGTTTTTCCACAGTTTTTTGACGTTTTTATGCAATAACTTTTAAACAATTTATACGATTTTAATCTATCTGGCAGGTCTTTTTATAGCGCATATTTCGCCTGTTCAAAACTTTTCTCTAAATTCGGTAGTT